GGAAAAATCTTTTGTCGAAGGCTTTCACGGCCGGAGTTAATTAGTTGTTGTCGATTTTCCGGGTTGTGAGGCCGTGATCTTGGCATTGTAGGACCTGACGTTTCGCCAGCAGCTGTGACTGGCATCCTCAGAGGTATAACACAGAAAGATGGAGCACTCTCAGTGTCAATAGGAGAAGAAAAATGGTAGGCAGGTAATTTATATCTACTCAGGAAGGTGGGGTAGAGCTAAGTCATTCTCTTGTAGGAGTTTCCCAGGCTGTGACATGATAATGGAGGAGCTTTCCTGAGGAAAATCCATATACAAAAGAACCTCCGCAGGAAAGCTCCTCCATTAGCATGTTTGCAGCCTAGGAAACTCCTACAATGACTCTGCCCTACCACACCTTCCTGAATAAATTACCTGCACCTGCCTACCATTTTTCTTTTTCTTACAATGAACTTTTATTAAATATCAAAATAATGATAACAGGTTATGCAACATACAAGAATAGGTGTACAAACATATTTGTGGGTAATGAGCTTTTGTAGAACAGATAATAGTAATTCATAACTAATAGGAAACAGAATTGCCTACCATTTTTCTTCTCACCTTGTCACAGAGAGTACTCCATCTTTCTGCGCTATACCTCTGAGGATGCCAGTTACAGCTGCTGGCAAAACGTCAGGTCCTACAATGCCAAGACCACGGCCATAGAGCCCGGACAATCTACAACAACTAAGGAAAAATCTTTCTTTGAACTGACTGCCTGGTTTGTTTCATCAAGCACTGCCTTGAGCACAGTGTCAAGAAGGCAAGAAAGAAGTTTCAAGGAAGTCTACAGAAGCCACCCTGTAGCACAAAGGTTGCCGGCATTAACACCGGGGACACCAAAAGGAAACGTTCGAACACAATCACGGCTTGCTGGCAGGAACGGTGGGGGAAACAAGAAATTATTTTAGGGAAGAGCATCTGGCTGAAGGCCTCGCAAGCAGCAAGATTGTAGCTTTGTTGGAAGTTGCACTGCAGGTTTGGGATTGTTTTCAGCCACCTCGGTAAACGTTGAGTGCATTGCAAGCATTTTAAAAAGCAAGGTTGTTGGCCATCGCATTAAACTAAGGCATTAACAGTCTACCTTTAGGGACAGGCGTTTCAGAACCAGTTAGGGGGAAAATTTCTACTGGAATACATTTTTGCAGGCACTCATGTCCTTGGAGACGAGGTGTTGGGTCTGGTTCCATTGGGTTCACTCAGAATGTGGACTTTTAAAAAAACCGTTAAAATAAGTAACAATGGGAAAAGGTGTAGTGTTTAATTTGCACCCAGTGCCTGACACATACACCCTTTTAATGCTAACGATCAGAGGAAGAATGTGGGGTCTGGTCCAACGCTCCCTCTAAGCTGCGGAGTCTTGTGAGCAACAATTCTACTTTGTGAGCTACTGGCATTAAAGTTGTGGATGAGCAATCTGGCTACTGCCTCAACTAGTTTGCTCTGGAGCCATCCTTCCCGAGCTAAGACAACAATGTGTGAGTCAGAGCCTAAGAAACTGTGAGCTAGCTCACACTAACTCAGCTTAGAGGGAACACTGGTCTGGTCATAGAACATGAACAGAGGACATCTCTAAGACCAAATGTCTTTATTGTTTATTTATCTGTTCCATTTATGCCTCGCTTTTCTCTCCGTTGGGGGACCCAAAGAGGCTCACACCGTTCTCCTCTCTTCCATTTTATCCTCACAACAACCCTGTGAGGTAGGTTGGGCTGGGAGAGTGTGACGACTGGCCCAAGATCACAGAACTGCAGCCTGCCTGCCTCCCCGACCCCCCTAGAGAAGACACCTCAGAAAGGACTGAAATGGGGGGTGGGGTGGGGGTCAGAAATGAAATGGTGCACAGCAAAATCCAACGTCTTGCACCTCTGGAAACAACTGCAGACTGCTGGGGCTTCCAAATGGACATTACTTTCTCCCAAAACGACTTAAACATTACAAAACCAAACACACAGTTAAAAAACTGGGAGTCCCCAGGTTCAAACCAAGCCAGGAAATTCTATGAACCCCAAAAGGCACAGCCCACAGTGGGGGAACCGATTAGGGTGGAAAGGGGGAATAAATTGTTTTAAATCTATCACTCACACACACAAATCTATTTGGCTTTTGCTTGCAAAAAGAAGGAGTCGTAAAGGCTGAAAGGTCCCCTGTGCTCTTCTCAACCCCCCCACAATGTACATTTGTTTGTTATACCGGTTGTGTAAAATAAATTATTTAAAAAATATAATAAAGTCAATGTTTTTAAAGTGAATCTAAGCTCCATCTACTTATCGCTGTGTGTAATTAGAGGGTCTGCACTTTACTGTCAGGAGCGACCTTTGAGAAAAAGGTGCATTAATTTCTATTATGCATTTAGAGGGTGGGGGGTGGCCATCAAGGTAGGGGGCCCATCACAGAACACAAGACAACAGGTCTCCAGCCTGAGACACTGCCAGTCTAAAAGGCTCAACACCAGGGAGACGGCGAAGTCCAAGGTAAACAGAGGAAGGGAAACCTTTCCCTTCACCATTCACATATTGTTAGGTTTAGCCGTGTCAGCACTGCCAGGAGGGATTGAGAAAGGATCTGAAAAAAGTAAATGAAGGAGTAGCCTAATGTGGGTGCTCTGGCAGGCCATTCCGGGCATCAGGGGGCAGGATCGGGAAATCCTCAGCACTAGTCCCAGAGCATTAAGAGGAAAAGCACTCTGCACATGGCAAAGAGCTAAAACCTGGCATCGAACCCAACTTTTGCAGCTGAAGTCTTATCGTTTTTGCTGGGGGAAAGTTTTGTGGCCAGTCGTAGCAGGGGATGGTGGGACCTGCACCCTCGTCTGCTCCCTGCTTAACGGGAAGGACTGAAAGCGAGATGAAGCCGTGAGGTTCGGGAGTTCTTTTGGATATTGTGGTGACACTGGAGAGCCTTCCTAAAATATACAGCTGATCAGAAGCTGGAAACATCTGGACGATGGTTTAAAGGTAAAAGAGAAACATTGTGGCAGAGAGAAACCGACTAGAATGACAAACGGGAGAGGGGAAATCACAAACATGTGCAAAGCACTTCACATGCATCAGCTTCGTAAGGTAGGCCGGGGTCATCCTCGTTTCTGCAGCCCAGAGATTGAGACCACCAATCTGTAGCCGAAAACTCTTCTTCACCCCACCCACGACCCCTAGGAGCCAAGTCCCGTTTGTAAAATTGATATATCCCCCAAAAAAACTAACAGCAGGTTTCAAAGAACCACCACGCTGGGGGAAACTATTTGCTTAACAACAAGCTACCCGGATGGGAGGTTCACAAACATGATGTAAATTGGCCCTTTCCAGGGCTCTACTGGTAGCATATATCCTTTGCATTTTAGGCCACACACCCCCAGTGTAGCCAATCCTCCAAGAGCTTACAGAGCTCTTCTTACTGGGGCTACTGTAAGCTCTTGGAGGATTGGCTACACTAGGGGTGTGTGGCCTAATATGCAAAGGAGCTCCTGCTACCAGTAGAGCCCTGGCCCTTTCACCACCTTCAGAGAGCAACTTTTCAAATGTTGTTTAATTCAGCAAAGGAATATTTGGTGCCCTGAGCTGGACGGGGCCAGGCTAGGCCCAATCTTATCAGCTCTTGGAAGCTAAGCAGGGTCGGCCCCGGTTAGTATTTGGATGGGAGGCTTCCAAGGAAGACCAGAGTCACTGTGCAGAGGCAGGTGATATATATATATTGTGTGTGTGTGTGTATTTGATAGGTGTTGTGTGTTTTGGGACACCACCTGCTTGGTTATACAATTGTTGACTAGTTTTGAAATGTGACAACAGAGTAAGATGTTGGACACATGTCACATTTCCCCCCTTGTCCTTCCTTCAAAGAGCTTCAGGGTGTCAGGCAGAGTTTATCCCCCTGCAACTTTATCCTCATACAGCTGCCAATGGTGGACCCCAGACCCAAGGTGCCGACTTGTCCAGGAGGCGATGGAGTGGTTCCGCGACTGCAGCTTTGAGGGGCAAAAAGGAGTGGTAGAAGTTCAGGAGCCCCAAAAAGGCCTGCCGTTCGGACTTGGACGCTGGAGGCGGTGCCTGCATGATGGCGGCCACCTTGTCCGCGGATGCCAGGCTAGAGGGTGCTTAAACCACAATCGATGAAGATGCTTGGCCTCTCCCCTCACTCCAACTCTCTGGCAGGTGGGACCATCTACACAAAATCACCCCAGCCGTGTGAGTGAGTGTGTGTGTGTGTGTGTGAGAGAGAGAAGTGCTGCCAAGTCACAGGAGGCTTATGGTGACCCCGTCGGGTTTTAAAGCCCACGTGTGGGATAAGGTAAAGGTTTCCCTTGCTCGAAACGCAGTCGAATCCGACTCTAGGGTTGCGGTGCTCATCTCCGTTTCCAAGCCGAAGAGCCAGCGCTGTCCGAAGACCTTTCCGTGGTCATGTGGCCGGCATGACTAAACAACAAGGCGCACGGAACACTGTTCCCTTCCCACTGAAGTGGTCCCTATTTATCTACTTGCAATTTCTTGCTTTCGAACTGCTAGGTTGGCAGGAGCTGGAACTAGAGACGGGAGCTCACTCCGTCATGCGGCACACTCGGGTCTCGAACTGCTGAACTACCGACCTTCCACAGCCTGCAGTTCAGCGTCTTAACCACTTGAACCACCGCAGCTCCTTTTGAAAGCCCACGTGTGGGATATAAATCGAATGAATGAATAAAAATAAATTAAAGGCAAGTCATTAAGCAGAGGTGGTGTGCCACTGCCTTGCTCTGCAAAGTCTTCCCTGACGGTCTCCCATCCAAGCCCTGACCCCGCTTCGCTTCCGAGATCCAACGGGATCGGGCTATGCTATACCGTATGTTCAAGTTAATACCGACAGTTCAGAAATTTTTTATTGTGAGCTGACGGTTTGCGAATTCTTTGCAAACTGCCACAGTTTAGGTTCTTTCGGAAGGTCTCCCGCAGCTGTTTGAACTGCCGAAGTGGCAAGCTTTGGACACATTAAACGGGGGAGCGGCTTGCCTCTTCCGCAGTGCCAGACATTTAAAAAGATGTCTCGGGCTCTGGTGTTCCTCCCTGTTTTCAGCAGCTGAAAGCACATGACACATCCGTGAAAGGTACTGATCCATGCGACACAGACTGTGAACAAACGGAAGCGGCATCCGTTGCGGATGACGCCCTTTTCAAACCGCTTTACGATCTTTATTGTGGATCTTCCCAACCCCCCTGCAAAGCAGGCCGTTACAAATCCCACTGTACAGAGGCGGAGCAAGCAGGGCAGTTAAATTTGCAGCCAGGGCAAAACTCAAATCCAGATCTCCTAAGGCAGTCTTCTGCTCTCTGCGTCACAGAGGACCTGATTCCTACCCTCTGCATCCACTGGTTCTGCAAAATCTTGTGCAGTGGAGAGGGCTGGCTTCTACGGCTGGGGATGAAAAAAGAAAAAGGAAACAGCAGTGTGGGGGGGGGGAAACAGGAGCGGAAGATAAAAAGGCAGGTGAGAGAGTTCTCAGTGGTCCACGGATCCGTAATTTCAGAGCTCTGGACCAACTACTTTGCGACAGAGTGTTGGCTCTGCCACGTAACCAAAATCCCTGCCCAGCACATCTCGAGCGTGGATAGGCTGATGCGGAGAAGACTGACAACTGCAGTCCTTTCCGTAATGGCCGTAGAGCAGCCTCCCGGTCCTTGGATCAGAGGCAGGAAGGGATATCCCCCCCCCACCTCCCCCAGCAGAATCTGCTGCTGCCTCTCCTGCTGCCGGGGGAGGAGAGACAGTCGGAGCAACTGTGGCAGCGGGCTCACCCAGAGAGCGCTCTGGAGCCCAGCCGCTGCCGGTCTGCGCTCAGAGCCAGATCATTAAAAGTCATCTGTTCCATGGCACGAGGCTCCCGTACCACGCAGAGAAAAACAGCAACCCAATGCAGAAATTGTTCCGATCCCTGTCCCGGACAAAAGAGCTCGGAGCAGAACCAGAGGCCGGGAGCAGCCGAGCACCAAAGGACTGATTAAGGAGGGATGTGAGACGAGGCTGGATCCGGTTTGACCTCCTCTTGGAACACAGGCAGCCAGTGTGAGGGAGATGAATAATAGTCCGTGGCCAGAAATCAGAGTCCCTTTCCCAGGAGTCTAGCCACCATGTAAGGTAGAGATGAAAACCACGTTATCCTGGTCTTGGAGTTGATAGTCGAGCTCCCCCTGAAGGCAGAAGAAGAAAACAAAGAAGAGAATCATTTCTGTATATTACTGATCTGGCATTTTAACTTGCCCTGAGGGCACAGGGTAGGAAACAATAGTAAGAAGGAGAGGAGATTGGATTTATACCCCGCCCTTCACTTGGAGTCTCAGAGCTGTTTACAATCTCCTTTCCCTTCCCTTCCGCACAACAGACACCCTGTGAGGTGGGTGGGGCTGAGAGAACTCTGACACAAACTGCTCTTTTTCAAGGACAGCTGTGCCAGAGCTTGTGACTGACCCAAGGTCACATCAGCAGGTGCAAGCGGAGGAGTGGGGAATCAAACCCAGTTCTCCCAGATTAGAGTCCGCGCACTTATGCCAGGAGGAGGCCAGCAAGGTCTGGGGGGCTTGCCATTCAAATACGACTCATAAAAATATACTGCTGAGCAGTGTTCCCTCTAAGCTGAATTAGTGTGAGCTAGCTCACAGCTTTTTAGCCTTAGCTCAGGCAGGATGGCTCCAGAGCAAACAAATTCAATGCAGCGGCCAAATCGCTCACTCGCCACTTTAATGCCTGTAGTTCACAAAGCAGAATTTCTGCTCACAAGACTCCACAGCTTACAGGGAGCATTGCTGCTGAGGGACCCCTCTCAGTTGGCCTGTCGACGGAACACAGAGAAGGCGGCCGTCTGTGAAGGCAAGGGCTGGCGCTCTACAGGCTCAGTTTGGCTGTCAAGGGCTCAGCCTGCAGCCAACCATCTTGCTGCCGTCTGAACCGGAGCAACGAAAGAAGAAAAGCCTTGGCCAGGTGGCGCCCGTTGGGAGCTGGAATGGACCCGCAGGCTGGGGCCCCCAACCTTTTTGAGCCTCTGGGCCCCTTTGGCCTTTGGTCACAGCATGATGGGCCCGGCCACAAAATGGCCGCCCCAGCTTCCTTCCAGTCACACAGCGAAGGTCCTTGACCTGTGGTGGCAGCTGCTGCCAAATAATGCTTCTAAAGCTGCAAAGCCAGTCAAACCTCCAGTGGCCAACCAGAAGCCTTGCTGGGCAAAGGCCCCGCCCACTTTCTAGAAAACACTGGGGGGGGGGTGTCACCTGACGCTGCCACCACTCTGGTTCCAGGCTCCTCTGAGAAGGCCCAGAGCACCCTCCCAAGACCTTTAGACCTCCCTTTTGGCCGAATAGTAGGCAGAGTGAACAATGAAAATAGTTTATTTTATAGGAGGTCAAACAAACAAGGTGCAGAATAATAACAGTAAGTGGGTGAAAAGAAAAGAAATCAAATGTCCTAATGCGTCTAAATATATACTGTCCCCAGCTCACTATCAAGTGGCCTTAGACTACTCACCGTCCCCTCAGGATGAGGGTTTCTTCCCCACAGCAGCCTCAGTCCCTTCTGGCTCTGTTCCCTGGGAAGAAGAACCGCTTTCCCTCTTATACCAGTTCCTATATTCCCCAGCCCTCTTCTTCCCTATTGGTCAAAATCGGTGCCAAAACTTCCCAAGGCCTTCTGGGGTTTGTAGGCCCAGCCTCCCCTACTGCTAGCCAGGCTCCCTGGGCCTAGTAGGCCTCTGGTGGCACAGGCCAGATCATGACAGGGGGGGAACCAGAAAAATGTGTTGGTGGGTACCATGTTGGGGACCCCCATTGTAGGATGACAGTTGCCCGCTCCCACGTTACATGGCAGGCCTTCTTCCCTGCATAATGTCGAGATGTTTAGGTGCAGGACTTGAGAGCAGGCGAGGCACATCCCCTGCATCACTAAGTGTCCCTTGCAGGGTTCCCTCTCAGCTGAGTTAGTGTGAGCTGGCTCAGAGTTGTTTAGCCTCCGGCTCACACGTTTTTGCTTTAACTCAGGAAGGAGGGCTCCTGAGCAAACTGATTCACGCAGCAGCCAAATGGCTCGCTCACCACTTTAATCGGCTCACCGAGTAGAATTTTTGCTCACAAGACTCCACAGCTTAGAGGGAGCGTTGGTCCCTTCTAGTCTTTGCAAAGAAGGATGCCTGCCGGGAAGCAAGAAAGACCCAAGTGCAGAAGAAGAAAGGAACTCCCTGGGCTGCTCGTGGGCTCCCTAACCCCGCCCCTGTTTTCAGGAGAGGGTGAGCAGGGGGTGAAGCAAGAGTAAGCACCCCCTCAGCCTTGCTTGACCACAGACCTCTCTGGCCAGGGAGGAGGCATTACTTCAGCTTGTCTAAACTACTCATCCGGGATTTATAAGAGCCCACCAGAAAAGTTAGCCAACCACAGACGAGAAGGGGTGTGTGTGTGTGTCCCAATGCTCCCTCTAAGCGGTGGAGTCTTGGGAGCGAAAATTCTACTTGGTGAGCTGCTGGCATTCAAGTTTTGATTGAGCGATTTGGCTGCTGCATAAATTAGTTTGCGCTGGAGCCACCCTTCCTGAGTTACAAAAAAAAAGGTGTGAGCCGGGGGGGAAAATGTGAGCTAGCTCGCACTAACTCAGCTTAGAGGGAACCCTGCTCCGACCTTTTTGACCCTCCAGGTGCCAGTGGGATTCTGATCAGTGTTCCCCCTAAGCTGAGTGAGTGTGAGCTAGCTCACATTTTTTTAGCCTCCAGCTCACACATTTTTGTCTCAGCTCAGGAAGGATGGCTCCAGAGCAAACTAGGTTATGCAGTAGCCAAATCACTCGCTCACAACTTTAATGCTAGTAGCTCATAAAATAGAATTTTTGCTCACAAGACTCCACAGCTTAGAGGGAACACTGATTCTGATGGAGTGTGGCAGGCGCAGCCACAAAACGGTTTCCGTGAAACAACAGCTCCACGAGGTGGAGCCAGACACAGAATGGCTGTAGCAGCTCACCTTCCATCACACAGTCTATGGGGCTGCACAAGACAAGTGTTCCCTCTAAGCTGAGTGAGTGTGAGCTAGCTCACAGTTAGCCTCCGGCTCACACATTTTCCTCTTAGCATGGGAAGAAGGGCTCCAGAGCAAACTAATTTATGCAGCGGCCAAATCGCTCGCACACAACTTTTAATGCCCGCAGCTCACAAAGTAGAATTTTTGCTCACAAGGCTCCACAGCTTAGAGGGAGCATTGCACAAGTTCTTTGTGCTGCGGCGGCAGCTGCGGCCAAACCGATGTCTTTAAAGAAGTTCACAACCAATCAGATCTCCAATGCCCAATCAAAAGTTTTGCCCACTTTCTAAAAACTCTTGGTGGGCCCTAGAAAAGGTGTAGCCGGGCACCACGTTGGGGACCTCTGGCTAAGAACACCAGGGTGGCTCTGTCTCATTTTCCAGGGGCCAAGTACGAAATGCCCAAAGAAGGGTCTCAGAGCGCAGGGTTAATATTAAGAACGTGCCGTCTTCCTCTGCTTCTTCCAGCATACGGCTAACTTCTGCACCATTTCTGCTCTCGTTCAAACACCAGGAGGCCCAGGCGCCTCAGACTCCCACGCCACGTTTCACAAGAACAGGGTTATTTTGGGGCAGGAACACACAAAAACGGAGTTCCGGTTGGCTCCCAAGTTGGCCACGCCCAGCAGGAACCCATTAGCATAATAGGCCACACCCAACAGCAGAAACTCATTAGGATTGGCTATATTAGGGGTGTGTGGCCTAACATGCAAAGGAGTTTCTGCTACAAAAAGAGCCCTGCAAACAAGGTAAACAGAATAACAAGCAAAAGGTGGGGGTGGCTGGATAACCACACTTCTGGTAACATGTGGGTGCGGCCTAATGTGCTAATGAGCTGTGCTGTCAGGGGTGTGGCCCAATATGCTAATGAGTTCCTGCTGTTGGGTGTGGCCTATTATGCTAATGAGATCCTGCTGGGCTTTTTCTACAAAAAGAGCCCTGCACAAGAGCATTCACAACACGACTTCGAACAGTAAGACGCAAAAGGGACAGATAGAAAAGGGTAGAAACAGTACGAACCATCAACTCCCAGTCCGCCTCGTTGATGAGCACCAGGATACCTGGCCGCCTGCAGGAAAAAAAACCAGGAAATAAGTGAACCTGTTCAGTCGAGCCATTTTAACCCACATTTTTTGGTGTCTGATCGCAGGATTCCTCGCTCCTTCTCCAGTACGGAATTCTCCACCCTTTCTTCACCATTTCCCCCTCCCAAGGACCATGCAATCCTACTGCTCCATAAAGGTAAAGGTTCCCTTGCTCGAAAGCCAGTCGAATCCGACTCTAGGGTTGCGGTGCTCATCTCCGTTTCAAAGCCGAAGAGCCAGCGCTGTCCGAAGACAAAGGGTAGAAACAGTACGAACCATCAACTCCCAGTCCGCCTCGTTGATGAGCACCAGGATACCTGGCCGCCTGCAGAAAAAAAAAAAACAGGAAATAAGTGAACCTGTTCAGTCGAGCCATTTTAACCCACATTTTTTGGTGTCTGATCGCAGGATTCCTCGCTTCTTCCCCAGAACGGAATTCTCCACCCTTTCTTCACTATTTCCCCCCTCCCAAGGACCATGCAATCCTATTGCTCCATAAAGAACCCTAATTTCAGTTTATTCCTTGGCGATTTTAAAAGACAAACATGCCAATGTTAGTGCACTGTTCTGAGGGAACGCTGACCCTGATGAAGAAAATGACAGCTCACTGCAACTGGCAAACCCACCCACCCCTCAGGTCTCCAAGATATCAGAGATGTGTTTGAAAACACTGACTGACTTAACAGAATGCTCCAAAATTCAGGGGACAGTAACTCTTGAGCCAATTATGCCTTCTGTATTTGCTTGCTTTGAAAGTTCTATTTATTCTTTTAGAGAAACTGCACGCTGCCTCTCCACAGCCTGCTCGAGGCAGCTCAGATTCTAGCTGTGGGAAAGGATTTTAAACAGCCTGTGTCCCAGCTCCTGAGCTCCACCCAGACATTCTGCAAGGGCAGGGCTATTTTGGGGCAGGAACACACAGGAACGGAGTTCCGGCTGGCTCCCGAGTTGGCCACGCCCAGCAGGAACTCATTAGCATAATAGGCCACACCCAACAGCAGAAACTCATTAGGATTGGCTACATTAGGGGTGTGTGGCCTAACATGCAAAGGAGTTCCTGCTACAAAAAAAGGCCCTGGGTTTTGACCACAAACAAGGTAAACAGAATAAGAAGCAAAAGGTGGGTGTGGCTGGATGAGCACACTTCTGGTAACATGGGGGTGCGGCCTAATGTGCTAATGAGCTGTGCTGTCAGGGGTGTGGCCTAATATGCTAATGAGTTTCTGTTGTTGGGTGTGGCCTATTATGCTAATGAGTTCCTGCTGGGCTTTTTCTACAAAAAGAGCCCTGTCAAGGGTATCTTCACAGTCACAAAGACTAGAGATTGTCTCTTTTTAAAATGGATGCTGAGATCCCGAGGACTGGAAAGACCATGGGTTCTGTTATTAGAGAGTCAGCGTGGAATGTTTCCTTCGGGAGTTGATAAGTAGTGATGTGACAGTTTTGTGTGTGATGCTTTATTATGATTCTTTAAGCAACATTTATCATTGAATGTGTATTTTCTTCCTTTCAGTTATGAGAACTGGGATTGCTACACGCTCAGATAAAGCAAATATTGTGAAACGAATTGTTCATTGCGCAGTATTCGTTAGCGTGTGAGTGACGATGGAAAATGTTCTACAGAAATTACTACAGTCGTGCTCGCTTCAGCAGCACATATAAGAACATAAGAACATAAGAGATTCCAATGTTGGATCAGGCCAAAGGCCCATCCAGTCCAACACTCTGTATTACACAGTGGCCAGAAATACCAGTGCCATCAGGAGGTCCACCAGGGGGGCCAGGACATTAGAAGCCATCCCACTGTTGACCCCCCCAAGCACCAAGATGACAGAGCATCACTTGCCCCAGAGTCCCTATCTATACCTTGTGGCTAATAGCCACTGATGGACCTCTGCTCCATATGCTTATCTAATTCCCTTTTGAAGCCGTCCATGCTTGTAGCCGCCACCACTTCCTGTGGCAGTGAATTCCAAGTGTTAATCACTCTTTGGGTGAAGAAGTACTTCCTTTTATCCGTTCTAACCCGACCGCTCAGCAATTTCATGGAGTGCCCACGAGTTCTTGTATTGTGAGAAAGGGAGAAAAGTACCTCTTTCTCTACCTGCTCTTTCCCATGCATAATCTTATAAACCTCAATCATGTCACCCCTCAGTCGTCGTTTCTCCAAGCTAAAGAGCCCTAAGCGCCTTAACCTTTCCTCATAGGGAATGTGTTCCATATACTGAAATTGGAACGATACAGAGAAGATTAGAAATTACTACAGTAAACATTTTTGCAACTTATCTTTATTGACTCTTCGTTGGTTTTGTCACGGATGTTGTTTTTGGGATTTCCATCAGCGTCACACTGGCAGTGTAATGAAGGGGGGGGCTGGGGGCCCGAGGCAGAGAGCAGGTCCCAAGTTCAGTCCCGGATACCCCTGCTTCAAAGATATCAGACGGCAAAGAGTTCCTGCCAATCAGAGCAGACGATACCGAACCAGAGACTCATTGATCTGACTCGATCTGAGGCGGCTTTAAAAACATCAGAAGAGCCCTGCTGGATCAGAACAATAGTCCATCTAGTCCCGCATCCTCTCTCACAAAGCGGCCAGCCGGTTCCTCTGGAGGGCCAACAACACGGCATGGAGACCAAGACCTTCCCCGGATGTTGCCTCCTGGCCCTGGGATTCAGAGGATTGGTTCCCTCAATGTGGAGGTTCCTCTCAGTCACCATGTGTGAGGATCAAGACTATACACGTTGAGGTTTCTTTTAAGTGAAGCTTTTAAGTGAAGCTTTTAAGTGAAGCTTTTAAGTGAAGCTTTTAAGTGAAGCTTTCGAGCTGCGGTGGCTCAAGTGGTTAAGACGCTGAACTGCAGGCTGTGGAAGGTCAGTAGTTCAGCAGTTCGAGACCAGACGGAGTGAGCTCCCGTCTCTGGTTCTAGCTCCTGCCAACCTAGCAGTTTGAAAGGAAGAAATTGCAAGTAGATAAATAGGTACCGCTTCGGTGGGAAGGGAACAGCGTTCCGTGCGCCTTGGTGTTTAGTCATGCCGGCCACATGACCACGGAAACGTCTTCGGACAGCGCTGGCTCTTCGGCTTTGAAACCCTAGAGGAGGATTCGACTGGCTTTCGAGCAAGGGAACCTTTACCTTTACCTTCGAGAGTCGACGCTCCCTGGTGAAGCTCACACCCTGAAACTCTCGTCGGCCTCTAAGGTGCTTCTGGACCCAAATCTAGTTGTAAGCAATGTTCCCTCCAAGCTGAGTTAGTGTGAGCTAGCTCACAGTTTTTTTAGCCTCCGGCTCACACATTTTTGTCTTCGCTCAGGAAGGAGGGCTCCAGAGCAAACTAATTTATGCAGTAACCAAATGGCTCGCTCGCAACTTTAATGCCGGTAGCTCACAAAGTAGATTTTTTTTCTCTCACAAGACTCCGCAGCTTAGAGGGAGCATTGGTTGTAAGAGCAGATTTTATAGCTCCCCAAAACAGCAGACCCGTTCTTTCAAGGGAAATGCGGCCCACGCCTGACAGGCTGACTCCTCGGTCCCTGATCTGGGACGGGACCTGCCAACGGCATCGTCCGTCTCGTCCAAATGAGCTTCAGTTGAAAGGCCCTCATCCGGCCTTTTACTGCCTGCAGGTGGCTGTTCAGAATCACTGCCTCACCTGGCAACGTTGGAAAACAACAGCTCATGCATGCACAGTGCTTTGAAGACCATAAGACTGGGGTGTTTTCTTCTTCTTCTTCTTTTTTAAAAGGTTTGATTTTAAAGAACAAAAAGAGGAAGGCGAAATTCTCAGGATATGGCTGAGCTCCACGCTGGGTACGGGACGTGTGCCTTTGCCCGGTGCGTCCACAGGTCTACTCACCAAAACGAAATCGATTCACCCGGACCCCAGTGCCAGCACTCCGCTCCTAATGGAAAAATTCCAGGCTCTAACTGGCACTGTGACGGCAGGCGGAATGCATTGTGCCAAATGAAGAGTTTGGGTTTGTTGTTAGAATGATTTTTAAAAAGGCATGCATTGGCCCAGAAGATGCCGACTGATACTTCTCGCTCCCACGTACAAGGCGACAGGATAAGAATATAAAGAGGCGCCATGAGCAATCAGACTAAAGAGCTGTATAGTACAGGAAGCCCATAAACCAGCCACACCACGCGAAAGATGAGCTCCGGATTGACGGCTTTTCAAGGTTTGATTTTAAAGAACAAAAAGAGGAAGGCGAAATTCTCAGGATATGGCTGAGCTCCACGCTGGGTACGGGACGTGTGCCTTTGCCCGGTGCGTCCACAGGCATATTCACCAAAACGAAATCGATTCACCCTGACCCCAGTGCCAGCACTCCGCTCCTAGTGGAAAAATTCCAGGCTCCAACTGGCACTGTGACGGCAGGCGGAATGCAGCTCCTGCCAACCTAGCAGTTCGAAAGCAAGACATTGCAAGTAGATAAATAGGTACCACTTCGGTGGGAAGGTAACAGCGTTCCGTGCGCCTTGGTGTTTAGTCATGCTGGCCACATGGCCACGGAAACGTCTTTGGACAGTGCTGGCTCTTCGGCCTTGAAACGAAGATGAGCACCGCAACCCTAGAGTCGGATTTGACTGGCTTTCGAGCAAGGGAAACCCTTTACCTTTATCTGTTGTTCAAAGATATACTGCCCTTGAACATGGAGGTTCTGTTCTTAGCGATCATGGCTAAATTCATGGCTGATCCCCATATTTCTTCATCCATTCCTATATAAGCAACCTCAGAACTGACTCGCACGATCACCAGATCCAGTATCCTTTTCCAACTCTGGCCAAGCCAGACACTTCTGGGAAACTCCCACGCAAAGGCAAGAAGACAACAAGCCCCCTTTGCCCTGCCGGGCTTTCAGCAACTGATACTCAGGTGTGTGCCGCTTCTGAACATGGAGGCTCAGAGTGTTCATGTACGTTGAAGACCTGCCTGTCCTCTGGGCATTTGCTAATCCCCTTTAAAAGTCACCACCATGAACTGATTTCCATAAATGAATCCTTCCTTGGGTGAAGTGCTCTCCTTTGTGTCTGTTCTCAGTCTACTGCCCATCGATCTGGAACGTGTAGTATTATAAAAGAGGGAGGACGATTTCTCTGTCACCTCGGGGTCATGATGGACGTCTGTTGCAGGGGCCCCCAACCTTTTTGAGCCTGTGGGCGACTTTGGAATCCTGACACAGAGTGGTGGGCCCAGCCACAAAATGGCCGCCGTGGGAGGTGGAGCGAGTTACAAAATGGCTGCCGCAGGGAAGATCCTTGTGCTGTGGGGGCAGCTGCTGCCAAAGCAACACTTTTAAAAATCTGCCCAGCCAATCAAATC